AAATATTTTTTTTATTATGTAAACCTTTTTAGCTTCTAATAAAAGCTGTAGGACTAATTTTTCTAATTCTAATAGAAGTAAGATCATTAAAATTGGTTGGATAGATCATGAGATATGAGTTTGTTTTAATTTTTACTATGGAGTTTTTTCTTAAAAACCGAATCACATGAGATTCTATTTCTATATAAGGCAATTAGTAAATCTCTGCCGATTTTTATTATGAAATTTATACCCTTCAATTGCGGACTACCCCTTAAAGTCTTTAGCTCTTTTTAATTATTATTATTATACTACAATCTCTTCTTTATATTTTTCTTGTTAAAATATATAGTACTGCAGGGCTATATATACTTAATTTATTTTATTTTTTTTTTTTGTCTTTCTTCTAATTCTAGTTTTTATTATTACTATTTAAATTACAACACCTTTTATTATCTTATTTTTATTATAATTAATATTTATATTCTTTATTAACTTATTTTAAACAAGATTTTCCCCAATCTTTCTTTTGCTAATAGTAGTTTGTTAACTTAAATTGGCTTTAAAATAGGAAATTGAAGGTGTAATGTCATGTCAAATTTGATATTTATAAAAAATCTATCTGTTTAACTATTTTGTATTCATATAATACTTTGTAAAGTTATTTAGTTTTCTATATATAACATTAATAAAAAAAAAAAATTAAATAAAGTTTTGTATGAGCTCTTACAAGACAGTCAAAGAGCCAAAAAAAAAAGAATGCTAATTAAAAAAAATTCACCAAAAAAGCAATTAATTGAAATTAGATCTAGATGAGGTTACATATCATTTGTGAAATTTTATTGTCAACCCAATTTATTAGCACGTGATAGTGTATTAACAAAAGGTAGCCTAATAGTAATATTAAATGCATGTGCAAAACATAGATTATAGAAGTGCACTTCACTTGGGTGGTTAGACTGTATAATTAAACCTGCTTGATAGGGACAAGCAACCGTTTTTGGATTAAATTTGTTTTAGGGTAGCCCCTATAAAAAAAAATTAAAGATCATATTCGGATTTTGTTCAGATTATTATTTTTAAAAATGAGCTTTTTTTGTAATAAGAACCTATATAAAACCCTTTTAAATAAAATTATAATCAGGAAATCGAAAATATTCAAGAAATTTAGAAATATTCAGGAGTTTAAAAGGGTTTTATCTAGGTTATTATTACAAAAAAATTCATATTTCTAAAAAATATAATCTGAACAAAATCGGAATATGGTTTTTAAATTTTTTTTATAGGGCGACGTGAAGTTCACAAAATATACTTGTTAATAATTTTTTCCTTTAATTTAGACATTATTTAGACATTTCGGCATAATTTAGAATTTCGGCATTAGGCCGTTCGGAGTTAATTCTTCGTCTAATATCACCTTTAGAACTCTTGGGATAGGGGTAAAATGAAAACGAACATATAAAAATGGGCCAATTTCATTGGTCGACGTAAATCAAGTAATTGGCGAGAGTTATCCAGCGTTTTGATTGGTTGTGCATTTTTGGGGGAGGGGAGAATCAACTTCGAACGGCCTTATTTTAGAATTTTGGCAGACTAATATCAAATGTCGAAATATTTCAAACAATTTCGGCTAGTAACATTATATGTGATATGGTATATTTAAGGGGCACGTTATTTTGGGATACGCATGAGCATTATTTTGAGACAAAAAAACAAATTTCAAAAAAATGGGGTTTCGAAATAACTTGTGTTATTAGTGCATGTGCAAATATGGTACCTTCAATTTGATGTGTGAATATAAAGAGCAATTATCAATGAATTTAATTAAAAATGATAAAACAAGTTCACAACTCTAGAACATAAATATTTATTTACCATTACATGCAAATCCTTTCATTCGCATTAATTTATATAAAGAACAGTTATTAATAAATGAAATTAAAAATAGCAAACCAAGTTCAAGAACATAAGTATCATTTCATTCATATTAATTTGACTGCGAATATAAAAGAACAAATATTAATGGATAGAATTAAAAGTGGTAAAACAAGTTCATGAATCAAGAACGCAAATATCTATTTACCGTTACGTTCAAACTTTCATTAAATTAATAATCTTAACCAGCTCACAAGGATATTAATTAATGATGACTATTTCAATAATGCGGGATTAATGACAACAACATGCCAAGAACGTCAAGAAAAACACTAAAAACACTACATAAAAAAATTGATTAATGCAGACAACGATGTAAACAAACAAACAAAAAAAATACTATCCACAAAATGTCAATCTATGTAACTCCAGAAAAATAATTCACTTAGATAATGAATAAATTTTTTTATTTTTATATTATCTGCCAATCAAATTCGTTTGAAAATTTATACAGTTACATAGATTGACATTTAATGGATAGTACAGTGGTATTTTTTTTGTTTTTTACATCATGTCTGTATTAATCACGAATAAAATGATTTGTAAATACTGTAGCATTTATGTTCTTGAGCTTGTTTTACTGTTTTTAATTAATGTGAGGAGGTTGTTCCAACGTGAGGTCAATTAGTATTTTTTATGATTACTAATCATTGGCGACTTTAAATACTAATTTACCTCATGTTGGAACTAACCTCATGATATCACAGACCAAATTAATGCGAATGAAAGGATTTGCATTCATATTTTTTAGTTGTGAACTTGCTTTACCATTTTTAATTCTGTTCATTAATATTGGTTATATTCACAAATGCGAGTAAAATGATTTGCATGAAATCGTATATTCACAGACCAATGCGAATAAAGGATTTGCATGTAATGGTAATATGTATTGGATATTTATGGTCTAGACTTGTGAACTTGCTCTACCGGTTTAATTTTATTTGTTAATAATCATTTCTATAATTTACAGATCGAATTAATCTTGATGAAATGATTGCATGTAATGGTAAATGAATATTTATATCTGCATGTTCTAGAGTTGTGAACTTTAATTCTATCCAGTAATAATAGTTCTTCATATTCACATCAAATTAATGTTAAAATGATTTGTAAAAAATGGTAAATATTTATGTTTTAGAGTTGTGAACTTGTTTGCCGTTTTTAATTCTATCTGTTAATAAATGCTCTTTATAGTCACAGATCAAATTAATGCGAATAGAATGATTTGTATCAAATGGCAAATGGATATTTATGTTCCTAATCTGTGAACTTGTCTTGATTTTTTAATTTGAATAATTAATAAATATTCTTTATACTCCTGTAATTGTCTAACTGTGCTAAATCATGTGAATATTGTACTCGTAGTTTCTTAGAGATGGCATTTTAAAAATACAATGTTTTAAAAAAGGGGTTATTTGTTCTAAACTTCACCGACAGCTCATTTAGCCGACATCACACTGACAATTTACTATCTGCAACTACTGAACTAATCAAATGCTAACCCTATTCCTATTATGTACGATGTGATGTCAGCTAAATGAACTTTCGATGAAAGATAAGCAGCATCGGAAATAAACATAGTAATTTCAGTTTAGCCATCAACCGCCATAATCACCATTGTTTTAAACCTTTATAAAAGCATTAAAAAAACGGCTTTCTACCATCTTTAGAGGCTTTTTCCAGATTTAATATCACTAGAACTAATGTGGAACTAGATTTCACCAACATGTGATCTACATGGCGGGTTTAACTAGAATTTATAGCAATTATACATCATTACGCATTAATTACGTACGTACGTACATATGTACACGGCGTGCATTTAACGTTACGTTAATACAAATACAGAAGAAAAAAATCAGAACGCACGTTAATGATTACAGGTAGAAACGTCCCAAATATGGAATATGATGGAAATGGTCACATGTCAATCAGCCAATCAATTCGTAAAGCGAAATTAAAAAAAATTAAAGCATATATTAAAGTCCAAGATAAATGCCGCCAGATGTCCTTGCAAAGTAAATAGAACATACTTTTATTAACTTAGATCATTTGTTAACTAATCTACTATCATTAACAAATTTATCATAATCTCTTATGGTGTACCCATATGTTCAACTATGCACCTAATCTAGAACTTTAATACGTATCTCATATAATCTCTTATGCATAGCAATATTCTAATAAAAAGAACACTCAAGTGCATAGTAAATTCTCCTTATATCTAACTTTTATATCATAATAAACAAGATTCTGAAATTGGTTACACATACTATTTATTTGTATATGTTTATTTTTTTGCACGACAAACAAAACTCTGGCAATGTAGTTACTTGGCGTTTTAACTTTGGTGGGAATAATCGTATCATGAAAGTTGGTGGATTAAAATGGGTTAAGCGAATGTCATAGAGCAGAGTGAAGGCATCAAGTTTACTTAATACACGTAACCACTTTACTAAGGAGGTAAGATATCCGAGATTCCGAAAGAAGTATTGTAAAAACTTATAAAAAAAATTAACCGAATTTCTTGTGTAACATAAACGGTCCTACATGCTAGAAATTTCATACGCCCAAAAAGTAGTACAGTAATCAAATTTATCATTCTTAATAACAACTTCTCGTGAACCCTAGCGTTTTACCAATCTAAAAAGTTTCTCTAAAAAATTTTCTTCCTTAGATTAGAATTAGGCTTTGCTATTATATTAGATTAAAAGGAACTCCACTGTTGCCAAAAATTCGCAAGAAAACTTCTTTGTTAGTGCGCAGAAGGCAGTTTCATAGGCAAAATATTGAGTTATGAACGATTTCTTGGATTGTTCGGCCCTTTGCGGTTCCTTTGCGTTACACCTGATAACGAAATTTAGTTGGTCTGCAAAATTTTTAGGGTGATGAAGCAAGGGGGTGTTTGCAAAATTTTCCGAAAGACTATTTAAAGACTATTTAAAAACTTTCAAAGACTTTTTAAAGTTCAAAAATATAATTAAATAAATTCCAAACCCTTGTCAGATTATGTAAATTTTTTCATAAAATATATTCCGATCATATAAATTTACATTTATAAATTGTCAAGTCCAGCGATTCTTTCTATGGCAACATCAATCAAAACTCCTGAAAAAAGAATGTCTCGTGTATCTTGCGTTGATACAAGTTACAGACTAATTGATGAAATAAAACATATCGTTATAAACCTTAAGAGGAGTAAAAAAATCTTTGACCCAATTATTCACTCCTCATCAGAGACTGTTCGAGCCTTACATTATGTGAAGTATGAAGTTGAATTATATTTTCAACAATATGAGGATGCCTTTAATAGATATAAAATTTCGTTAGAAAATATAAAAGAATTCGCGAAAGAAATAGTGAATATAGAAAACAGTCACTATATTTTTTATCCGTATAAATACGTAAAAGACAAATATGAAAAATTGTTAAAGGAACATGAGAATTGTGAAAAAAGATTACATCCAATTCTAATTAAAGCCATAATGGACAAACAAGAACGTCAACAGGAAGATATTATGAATATTCATAAGGTACCGTATATTTATGTCAATAAAAAGAGTACCCGTAAAATCCGGACACGTATACACCCATGGCGTGTACCCTCTAGCAGTTTTAAGGGCCAGTTGGTGACTTATACCCGGGTACATAGGTATTATACATACTATATGTATCATCCCAGGTAGATAGTAAAACTTATTGTCTCAATACGGCGTACCCCCATATAGAGGTACCTCGGGTACAAAATTACCCGGGGTACACGTGTCCGGATTATACGGTAGTTCTGGATTTTTCCTCTACAATCAACCTCCCATATAATCACCCCTTATAATAACATTATAGGTAATCATATTTATGTTTAAGTTAAACTACTATTTAGTTCATAAGAAAAGAACTTCTATACGATTATATTTTTTTAAAAAAACCATGTACCCAACTGTGTGATTAAAGTGGATGACAAAAAATATTCGGAACTTTTATGTAACCCGAGAATGGCTAAACTATTTTCAATGATTTTAGGTTTAAGCAAATGCTACGATTTGAAATATTCATTTAAACTCAAAGTTTTCAGCCGTTCCTGAGATATCGGGCATATTCATTTTTCCGATTTCACAATGAATGCAATATTGATTAATGTCAGACAGATAAGCCTTTATTGATGATTTTGGATTTAAACGAACGTCTCGAATCTTAGCATTCATATTAATCAAAAGATTCAGCAATTCTTGAGATACAAGCATTGTATTGTACATGACACAGGATAAATCAATTAATATCGGGTGCATACCGGGAGAAAAGTTTCCCGATATGTACCCGTTAGCCTGCTGAATATCAACGGCAGGTACTATATAAACACTTACGAAAAAAATTTTACATTGTTTCCGCAAATTTTTATTAAAATCATGTGACAAATTCTTATTAATTTTAATATAAAATCTGCGGAAGTAATATAAAATTCTTTTGTAAGTGTATACGTCATACCTGCCAGATAAATCTGGCATGATATACGAATCATGGACATAATTGCAACGCACGAGGCTTTCAGCCACGTGCTTTTGCTATTATCCTGCCGATACGCTAGATATTGGTAAGATATCGATCGATATCAGCAACATAATAGCAAAATATCGGGATACCCCGATATCTTACTTTTAGGCCCAGAGTGCTAAGAGTAAGATATCAGGGTATCCCAATATTGTGCTGTCATGTTACCGATATCGACCTTCCTCCTGATATCTTACAAATGTGCTGCTGATATTCAGTATGTATTTGGCGGATCTATGGCAGACTAATAGGAAAATATTGAGAAAATTGTCTCTCGATGTTCATTGATTCAACCTGTGTGATGGTGGATAATTTATTTTTGTAAACGCGATTTTTGTTACTGCTACATTTAACAAGTATATATTTTGAGGACTATTGATTTCATTTTCAATGATTTTAGTCCTAAATTAATCCTAAAGTTTGTAGCATTCGTTCAAACCTAAAATCACAGATAATACATAATATTTACCGGATATTTTTGTCGCACACTTTATATGGGAGGGCGATTGTATTTTCTAGAATAATTTTAACATATTTATTACGTACAATAGATTTTAAAAACTATTCCCGATGGCAATAAGAATGAAAAGATTGCCCAAATTGAAAAGATAATTCAAAATATAATCCAAAGATCAGATTTAGATATCAATGTTCCACGTATCGATTCTGCATTATTATTTGATCCTCCTCGAGCAGGGGAAAATCTTGAAAATGGACTAGATAGAACGACAGAATGGGATCTAGAAGATTGGTTACAAACGAAGCTTATTATAAAGAAGATCTATAAACGTGGTATTGAAGTGGCATGTGAGCCCATTACCGATTACAAACAAAACTTATCAATTTTGAGTGAATTAAAGAAATTCGATGAATGCCAATATATTCTTAAATTTTATGGACTTTCAGATATTGATGGTGATGAAATGTTGATATTTGAATGGGTAGGCTTTGGTAGTTTAAAGAATATCTACGAAAAGAAAAAAATTCGTTGGGATATAAAAGTGAAAATTGCACGTGACATTTGTCGAGGCTTAATATTTTTGAATCACATAGATATTTTTCATCGTGACCTTCGATGTGAGAATATAATGGTAAATCTCGTTCTCAAATTTCTGTTCAATTCTGATTATGTCATTTATTCATTTATATATTTATCCACTTATCGTATCGCAGATGACTTATTATTTGCAACCGAAGATCGCAAATTTTTATCATGCAAAGCATGCTTCAGAAATAGAACCAGATAATGAAGACAATATCTCGAATCATACATTGAATATTATTAATTGGTCAGCACCTGAGATGATGCAAAAGAATGCCTTATACACTCAAGAATGTGAAGTTTTTAGGTATTTATTCTAAACGACCTTTCTTATTATAGTAACTCCAGTTATTTAATGGTTATATTAATATTATATACACTGTTATTTATATAGTTTCGTAATGCTTCTATGGGAACTAGCATTCCAAAGGATTCCCTATGAAAACATGAGTAAAGATAAAATTATTGCTCATGTTACACAGGGTCGTAGAGAAACCCCAAATCAACCTTTTTTCACATTGGACGTTCTTAACATTCAAAGAAAATATCTAAAAATAATTACAGATGGTATTTATATTAATAATTACTTTATGAATTATTTTATATTCATGAATTATGTACTAATTTATAAAATTCTTTATTGGGTAAAGGATGGGATAATAAACCAGAAAAAAGAATTACAATGGATGAAATTCTATGGAGATTTTTAAATATTGAAGCTGAACTTGCTAAACTTAAGAAAGATAATTTGGGTTCTGCTAAACGCTTAAGGTCTATTTCATATCCTGAGAAGTCTATTTACAATTTCAAGCGATTTCCAAATCAGTTAAAATCTAAAGAAAGTTTAGCACTGAATTTGGAAGGTGTGGATGAAGAAGATATTCCATATTTTATAAAATCACCAATGGATATTGATTTCAATTCAAAAAGATGGAAATTAGAAAAACCAAATAAGATTGAACCGGTTCCAACGAGATTGTCAAGCGTAGTTGAAGCACCAAGCGACGCTCCATATTCTTCAGAGAAATATAAAGAAATCATATCTAAGCAAAAAGAGGATGGTAGCATTGAATTAGATGATTCAGTATGCAATGAATTAAACGCTCCTAAAGAAGATATTATTACTACAATCAAAAATAACATTACTAGCAAAAATCTTCAATTACCAGAATTCTCATCAAGTCTTGAAACTGCTATTAACCTTTCATATCTAAAAAATTTTGCATCTCAACATGAAGATGAATGGAGAGATAACTATAATAAAGCCCTTGAATATCTTTCTAAACAAATTGGAGATGGAGATGCTGAAAAGGAATTATTAGAGTGCGCTGATAAATATGTAGCCAATAAAGTAACGGGCAAAGTAATTGAGGAAAAGAAATGGGTTTCTGAGAAAGATGAAATACCAAAAGCCGAAAAACATAAAGGCAAAAGCTTTTTAGGTGGTATTTATGAAACAGTTTCTTCTAAGATTGGTGAGATTAGTGATCAAATTGGAAATACCCTTACATCTGATAAGAACAAACATGAAGAACCAGAACAAAGAAGCGAGCATGAGAAAAAGAAGGAATCTGGAAGTAGCTATTTTGGAGAGCCTAAGATAGAGGAGGAACCTGAAAAAAAACCAGAAAAGAAAAGTGAGCATAGGAAGGCCTTTTTTGGTACTCCTGATAAAGAGGAGGTCTCCTCGATTTCGCCTCTGGTTCACCCCACAGTTAGCAAAGACGATTATAAAGCAGATATTCTTAATGCAATTCAGGATGAAACAACTCAGACTATTATTCTCAATAAACATATCGAAGATATTATTACCGATGACAAAGAACCAGATCAATCTGAAAAGGAAGACGCATTTGACACCACTAAGGAATCTGTTACTCCTGAGATCTGTAAAGCTATTACTTCTACAGCGGATGATGATGGTCGTATTGAATTAAATGAAACAGTGTGTAAAGAATTTGATCTTTCAAAGGAGGAAATTATTAATGCGGTTCAGAACAACATTACTAATAAAAAACTTAAATCGCCTGGATTGCTCTCAACTGCTATTAATCTTTCTTACCTTAAAAACGCCGCGCCTGAATTTGAAGATCAGTGGAAAAATGAATACGATAAAGCTCGTGAATATCTTTCGAAGCAAATAAGAAATGCTAGTGCTGAGAAAGAACTTTTGGAGTTCACGGATAATTATGTAATAGACAGTTGTGCCAAAAAAGTCATTAAAGATAAAAAGAGGTTCGCTATTGTACGTCTTCAAACATCAATAACTCCCGATAAATATGAAGCAGCAGTATCTAAACAAAAAGAGGATGGATCCTTTGAATTGAGTGAGACTATTTGTAATGAATTAGAAGTTCCTATGGAAGACATTATGACTAAAGTCAAAATGAACACCAATAACAAAAGACTACAATCTCCAAAGTCAGATTTATGGTGGAAGACAGCTCTTACTATGAGTTATCTTCAAGTGGCCGCACCTTATTATGAAAGCCAATGGAAAGGTAAATTTAACAAAGCTTACGAGTATCTATCTAAACAAATTGGTGACGCGAATATTGAAAAAGAATTATTAAAGTGTACTAGTAAATATGTGATTGATCGAGCATATGATCTTAATAATAGTCAAGAAAACATTATTTATGTTCCAAAACTTGATTTCAACGAAGAAATTCTTCAAAAAGTTCATGAAGACTTACGTTTCTCCGTCGATGCCGACGCTGCTCGTACAATTTGCAATACTCAGCGAGAAGACGGTTCCTTTACCTTAGATTCTTTAATAACTGACCATCTCGGTATAAAGCCAGAAGAAGCTATTAAATCCCTTAAGCGGTTCGCTATTAGTCCTAAACTTAGGGAATGCGATGACTCTGTTTGGCACACGGCTTTCACGATCTATTATCTTAAGACTATATTAATAAACTACGAAAATGAATGGCGAAATGCTTATGATAATGCTAATAAATGGTTGTATAAACAGATCAATGACACGACATTGGAGAAAGAATTATTTTCAGCGTGTGAACAATATTTAATTTATTCAACTAATCTCAAAGATGCGGAAAGACTCAAAATTCTCAAACTTAGAGTCGACGACAAAACACGTAAAGCAATTTTTGATGATTTACGCTCTAATGTCACAGCAGAACTAGCTCGTTCACTTTGCTCTGCACAAGAAAACAATGGCTCATTTTCTCCAAACGCTTTAACTATGTTGCGTCCGTTAATTCCTTCTCCGGCCAGCACTGTTGAATCTCTTAAACTTTATGTTGGTAGTACAAAGCTTAGCACTTGTATTGATTCAATTTGGTACACAGCCTTTACAATTTATTACTTTAAAAATGTTTTGGTAAATTATAAGAAAGAATGGCGCCATGCATATGATCGCGCCAGCATCTGGATAAATGAGCAAATTGACGATGCTGAAGCAGAAAAGGAATTATATTCTGCTTGTGAACAATATTTGATCCACCAAGGTGTTGATTTTATTAACAATCGAGGCAGAATCGAAGAATCTCAAGAAGAGGTCGAGGTTTTTGAAGTTCGAGTTAGCGAAGAAGTGCGTAAAGCTGTTCATAAAAGTCTTCGTGATGATGTTACAGAGGAAGTCTCCCGCATACTTTGCAACTCTCAAGAATCCAACGGTTCTTTCACCCTACATAAATCAATTTCCGACCATCTTAAAATTCCTTCAGCCGATGATGCCGTTGAGACACTCAAGTCTTATGTAGGAAGTTTGTTCTTGAGAAGTCGTAATCCGTCTGTATGGTGTACAGCTCTTACAATCACATATTTAAAAACTGTTTGTGATAACTACGAGCAAGTATGGAGACCTGCCTGTGAACGTGCAGCAGCGTGGATTAGTCAACAATGTAAAGACCCTGAAGAGGAAAAAGAATTATCCTCTGCATGTGACCAATACTTAATCAAACAGGGTGTCGAAGTCCTTAATGAAAAAAATAGACGTCTTTCTAAAAGACAAGAAACATCCAAGTCTATGGAAACCCCTTTTAAACAACTTTAAAACAGTAGATTTTTAATTGTATTTTTAAATCCCTTATTCTAAATAAAATGTTAAAAAAATTGTAAGTTTTATCTTCAAAAAAAATTTATTATATAAATACTTATATCGCGAGCATCAAAATGTAATTCCTATATGCATATCTTTATTATTTTCTTTATTTAAACAATGTCGAATTCTATAACATTCTCAGTAATTGCTTTATCTTATGAGGGCAAAAATAAATATTCGGAATTTTGTTACTATCTTTGTAAATTTTTAATAGTTTATTATCAAAATCTAAGTCTAAATAATGTTAATTGATACCGATATTCTCATATATTGTTGTGCATCATTCGCATGGGAATATTTCGGAGTTTTCGGAATATTTCGGAACCTCATAATTCTGGTCCGCATTAGCAGCAAGATGTCATAATGCGGGCTGGAATTTCATAATGCGGGCCAAAATTTCATGCATGAAATATTCTCATCCCTATCAATAACGATTTTTTACCAGATAACACTTTATTAGGAAATTTCTAAACATACACTAGTGTATAACCCAGGTATTAATTAAATGATTTGCAAATCCGTGCAATATATAAATTCATAAAAAAAAACCACTTAATATTAGAGTTAGGGTTAGAGGTTAGGGCTAAAGAGTATTTTATACTAAAATTTTGCGTAGATTATTTTTTGTTAAAACTCCCAAAGTAGTTTTATAAGCAAAATTTCGAGTAATAACAATACCCTGTGTATACACACACTAGTGTACAAATAGTAATTCTCATTTTATTAAGTCAATGTATAATAAGCATATAAATCAGTATTTAACTTGGAACTAAAAATCTTAAAAATAATCGATTCGTATTGTAATTAGGGATGACCGGTCATGACCAGTCAATGACCGTAATAGTAATCGATATTGACAGGTCAAACTGACCGGTCAAAATTATAACCGATGCCAGATTTTGATTTTCTGGCTAATAAATAATAATAATTATTTTCCAAATAATTTCCGTTATTGGCTGCTTTGCATCCAATAACTCTATATTATTGTAGCATGAATTTATGAAATCATATAGGCCATCTGATAAACAGAAAAACCCATCATTTATAATTCTGGTTAAATTTGCAGATCATTTGGCCAGATCTAGAACAAAACAATTTTAAATCTGGTAAAATGATCTGCAGTTTTGGCTGTAGTTATGAATCTATGGTTTAATTCTGAGTTTACAAAATTAAAATAAAAAATTTTGATTGAATTTGGATAGCAGAAATATTCATTAAAAGTTAAAAACAATTGGCCGCTGCTTTTTTCTTTGTAGTCGTCTAAACTTTGAACAAAGATTACTCGGTACCAACCTAATCAAATTTGATCAATTTTTTTTTTTATTTATTTCTATAAGTTTATATAATTAAATAAAAAAAAAAATGATTGAATTGGGTCAGGTTGGTATCGAGTAACCTTTGTTCAAATTTAAAAAAAAACTGCGGCTAAATGTTTTTTTTTTAACTTTCCTTGGCAACTACCTATATAAATCAATAATTTTTTTTATTTTAATTCTACAAGTCTTCAGAATTAAAATAGAAAAAACTTTCTTGCATAAAGTTTAGGAAAAGAAAATTTTGCCCGAAATTTAGTTCTTTTCTAAGATTTTCTTAAACTTCTAGTTAAGATTTCTCGATAACCATTAAATTAAATACAATAAATTTTTTTAATTTTGATTTTATAAAATTATGGGATTTAAATAAAAACAATTTTACCGAATTTGAATAAGTA